GTATTGAGTTCATCGCATAGTTTTCTGTGCGATTAACTCGATTAATCTCATTTTTAGAAACTGTTCAAATTTGACCCTAATTAAAGCGGCAATCAGCAGTTGAAACAATAACAAAGCGTCCTACCTGCCCCTGTTTCGGTAAAAAGCTGAGGGATGGGGCAGAGAAACTGTAACCACTCTCAAATAAATAGACAGAGGTGCAATGACTGATGTTAACCATGTTTTGAGGCTCTACAGTGTTTGTTTACATTTACTTTGTTTACACACACTGGGATAAATCAAGCTTATATTTTGGGATCTGATGGGGTACGACAGTTGAACTAAGTACTTGAACTAACAACAGATCAGCCAGGCCTGAGTTTATGTAAAATATCATACAGCTACAACAAAAACAGTAGCTAAATGTAATGGATTCCCTGTTCGGATTAAAATCATTGTGGGAAATTAGATTTGAATCAAGAGGTATTCAGCCATGGCATTGTAAACATTCTTGTTTGGTTAGCTAGCTAGCTAACATTAGCATAACCATATATACTTCAAGTTTCAAGGTCATGTGCACAGGTACAGTGAAATGCCTTTCTTGCAAGCTCTACACCCAACAATGCCGTAATCAATATCAATGTACACTGAACAAAAATATAAATGCAACATTTTTACAGATTTGACTGAGTTACAGTTCATATAAGGAAATCAGTCAATTCAAATAAATTCATTTGGCCCTAATCTATGGATTTCACATGACTGGGAATACAGATATGCATCTGTTGGTCACAGATACCTTTTTTTTTAAAGATAGGGGCGTGGATCAGAAAACCAGTCAGTACCTGGTGTGACCACCATTTGCCTCATGCAGCATGACACATCTCCTTCGCATAGAGTTGTGGCCTGTGGAATGATGTCCCACTCCTCTTCAATGGCTGTGCAAATTTGCTGGATATATGCGGGAACTGGAACACGCTGTCGGACACGTCAATGCAGAGCATCCCAAACATGCTCAATGGGTGACATGTCTGGTGAGCAGGGGCGGTGTGTTCATTAGGGCGATATGGGCGACGCACTGCCAAACGGGAAAAGGAAGGGATTTTTTTTATAATCAATTATATCACGGCAACAGTAGTTATCAGTGTTCTAATCTAGACGTCTGATCTGCCACTAAATGTCCAATCAGGCTAAAGTCGTGCTTCAAATGGCCCCGCCCCGTTTGGGGCGATTTCAGTCAGGTTGAAAATCGCCCAGGAGTCTCTCATAGACTCTCATGTAAAATCTTTTTTTTTTCAAATATCAGAGCTTTCAATACAATCTCTATGGGTTCCGGGAGGGCTTGCACTTACGCGCTTTCGTCATACGTAACATAAGTAACCATGAACATAACTAAGAAAAGAGCGGGTAGCAGCGTCAATCAATTCACGTACTACTGTCAAGATGGCTAGCTTTGCGAGGCAAAGATGAAACTGAGGGCTCCACCAACCCTGGTATTTTTCTTGGACTTGTCAACTTTGTGGCACAATTAGATGAGGTGTTTGATGACCATCTTAAAAATGCTAAAGTTTTCAAGGGCACATCAAAGACCATTCAAAACGAGCTACTGGAGTGTATGCTAGCGGTCATGAGGGAACATATTGTGGAGGAGGTGAAGTCGGCGAACTTCGTAGCTATCCAAGCTGACGAGACCACGGACGTTTCTACACAGACACAGCTGGTGCTTGTGCTGAGGTACATAGATAGCAACCACAAAGTGCAGGAGCGCTTTTTTGAGTTCCTTCCCATCTCGGAATCAACCTCAGTCTCAATCGCCAGTGTGCTTTTGGAGAGACTGAACGGTCTTTTTGCCGACGACGAGAAAGTCAAACTCATTGCGCAAGCTTACGATGGAGCCAGTGTGATGAGGGGAGAGAAGGCTGGTGTGCAGCAAAAGGTGCGTGAGCATTTCAAGAATGCCCATTACGTGCATTGCTATGCGCATCAGCTGAATTTGATCATGCAGCAAGCTAGAACAGTTTCAGTACAAGTAATGTAGCCTCTCTCTCTCTTTGTCCCTCCCTGTCTGTCTCTTTAACACACACACGCCCAAATCAGTTCACAGTTGATGTTGTTTAAAATAGTTATTTTTCATTTTTTTAAAGTAAAAAATAATAAATAATCTGTTCATGTTCATTTTTACAAATCTATACAATTGGCCAGAATATGGTTGTTCATATTTACAAATCTATACAATTGGCCAGAATATGGTTGTTCATTTTTACAAAGCCATACAGATAGCTGTGTTTACCTTTTCTAGAAATTATTTTCAAATTCTGTTTTCAGGCAAAATGTCTATCACTGTTAATTTTCACAAATCTATACAAGAGGGCAGAATATGGAAGTCTATAAAAATTTCTTATTACCAATAACTTTCAGTAGCCTCTATCAAAAGCTCCTGCTTGCTTGTTGTGAATTATGCTCAGGTGCACATATTTCCAATTCAACCATGAGGCCTTTTTGAAGCAAGTAATGTGTATATCAGTATTGACTTATATGCTGCCCCTGTCTTCATGTTGTTGCTGGACATATATATTTTTTAATGTGTGTAGGTCACCTAAATTATCAGAAAAATTGCCCCCCCTGAGAATTTTTTCAGGAGCCGCCACTGCTGGTGAGTATGCAGGCCATGAAAAAACTTGGACATTTTCAGCTTCCAGGAATTGTGTACAGATCCTTGCGACATGGGACTGTGCATTAACATGCTGAAACACACTGGTGATGGCGGCGGATGAATGGCATGACAATGGGCCTCAGGATCTCGTCACGATATTTCTGTGCATTCAAATTGCCATCGATAAAATGCAATTATGTTCGTTGTCCTTAGCTTATGCCTGCCCATACCATAACCCCACCACCATGGGGCACTCTGTTCACAACGTTGACATCAGCAAACCGCTCGCCCACACGACGTCTGCCATCTGCCCGGTACAGTTGACATCGGGATTCATCCGTGAAGAGCACACTTTTCCAGCGTGCCAGTGGCCATCGAAGGTGAGCATTTGCCCACTGAAGTCGGTTCCGACGCCAAACTGCAGTCAGGTCAAGACCCTGGTGAGGAAAACGAGCACGCAAATGAGCTACCCTGAGACGGCTCTTGACAGTTTGTGCAGAGATTCTTCAGTTGTACAAACCCACAGTTTCATCAGCTGTCCAGATGGCTGGTCTCAAATGATCCCACAGGTGAAGAAGCCAGATGTGGAGGTCCTGGGCTGGCATGGTTACACGTGGTCTGTGTTTGTGAGCCATTTTGTTTGCTATTTAGCAGTCTTATGGCTTGGGGATCTAAGCTATTCAAGAGCCTGTCAGTCTTGACTTCTGTGCAAATTAAGCTTTTGCTGTCATCTAAAGAAATGCCTAGGAATGTGTTTATGGTTGAATTTCCGGTAGGTATTTCTTCCAAATTGTTGCTCAAAGCTGCTAACATTGTGGATTTTTAAGCACCACAAGAGAGACAGACAGTTCTACAGCAGCTGCTAGCTGTTGAGACCCAGAGCACACAGCCAAAGATTATGAAGATAGGCAGAAACTGCTTCTCCAATATAAATCCCCTGTCGTCTCGCGCTGAACTGCGCATGTGTGCAGGCCATCAAATCTAAGGCAGTCCTTCAATATAAAGATTTTGATTTTATTTTTTATGTTGCTTTTCATAAAAATTTAAAAGGTATCAGTCGGTCACTTTGACGAGGTTGGCGTAACAACATGTTCAATTACTTAAGACATTGGCTCAAATCTAGGTTGTGCCTTTAGATTTCGAGAAAATTTACAACTACGAATTTCATTTCTCTCATTACCTTCTCAAACCCCAAACCCAAGCCTGGCATGCTTCGCAAGCGTTCCCGGAAGTCTCGCGATGTTGCGCCTCTGGTTTTAAAAACTGTGGAACAGCGGAGCGCGTTGTGTGTTGCAATCTAAAGGGTCCGTGCGGAAACACAGCTAAGGCGCGGCGACGCAACAACCAATGGTTGCGTGCAACGTCATCGACTGTGGCATCGACTGACAATAACATATAATGTGGTTTGCTGATACTTAAAATACATATCCAGGCGTTGTAAGATCTGTCAGGCGTCAGCAACGTCTATTGGTGCTGTCAAGACAACTGGGAACTAGTAAAAACACCAGGTCAAATCATGACGTCAGTGATCTTCGGAGCTCTAGAAAGGTTCCCGAGTTTCTAACTGGGAATTTCGAGTTGGATGACAGTTGAAAACTATTTTTCCCAGTCGGAGATCGTTTTTTCCCCGAGTTCCCAGTTGTCTTGAACGCTCGGAAGTCGGAAATGTCTGTGTTCCGACTTGAACGCGGCATAGGAAGGAGCCCAAAATCTCCTTGCCTGTGTACAGCAACCATTTTGGTATTTATTCTAACGCCCATGCCATATTGACCAATGGTAGCTCTACCTAGATCCCAATCGGCCAATCCGTAGACGACGCTGTGACTCACCAAATAAGGAGAGACAACTCCATAAAAGGAAACATTGTATCTCTTTATAAGGAGGAAAGTAGATCTTGGTTTGTAATATTAGTCCGCTCTCGAATACATTATTTCAAAATACATCATATTTGTGTGCAAATGCACGACTGCAAGACTGATATTGCGTGATATTGGATGAAATATCTGCAGCGTTTGTGAATTGAAGGCGGTTACCGAATATATTTTAGGCGATTATGGTGTGAACTACATGACATGGCGGAGTAATAACGAATGCTCTCTTCGACACTTTTTTGAGAAAGTGCTCTGAGTTTTTGGAAATAGAAGAGGTTGAGCCAAACTGAACCGGGCTGAAGAGTCCCAGGGGCAGCATCACTGAAACTGAAAGTTTGCTTTAGTGGTTTCAAACAGATGCCAATTTTGCAATGTCCGCAATTTCGTTGTTTGTTTACCTTTTTGGTGGTTGGGTTGTATGAACTGTGCTGTAATCTCTACTAACACGCGCTCCAGAAGTCGGCTGACGATTTCAGGGACCGGGTCCTCTAACTAGAATGTTACCAAGCCAGGCTGGATCAGCACAATCTGGAAACGGGTCAGCGTCTGTCAGGGGTAACACAGGTCACGGCTCTGGGGTCATTGGGAGTGGGATTCGCCCCATGTTGGTCAGAGCAGGGCAATCGATAACTGGGGTCAGCGACAGCACCGGTGCGGTTGGGATGTTGGGGAGCAACAGTCCAGGAGTGGGTGCAAGAGGTGGAGCGAGACCAGGGAACGGGACGGGACTGACGACTACACAGACCGCCGGCCAGGGAGGCATCGGAGGTCTGATCATGGGAGTTGGGGTTCAGGGAGGCAGCCGGTACGACCCGGACAAAGAGTGTGCGCCAATGGGGTGCAGTGGGTCGGACGCTGATTCGGACTCGGGGGATGATGAAGATCCGATGTGTTCAATCGGGGACAACAGAAGAGGAGTAAAGCGGGAGAGACTAGAGATGGAGGCTGCGGTGACAGGGCAGGAGGCGGGGGTACCACCGGGGGGTTATGGCGTGGTCCCTCGAGGTGTTGCTGGCGCAAAGCCAGGGAAGAAGACACGTGGACGCGTGAAGATAAAAATGGAATTCATCGACAACAAGTTGAGGCGATACACAACTTTTAGCAAGAGGAAGACTGGTATAATGAAGAAGGTGAGTGATCACAGTGACACTCAGGTGTGATGGGACACTCCGTAGTGTCCACTCCAAAGTGTGTCACTTGGTCATACATGATGTTGCATTGATTGATGTGTATGGGGCACCTATAGGCTACACCAACACTGACCGAGAATGGAATCATTAGGTAGAGGTCTCAACTTTCCTGTACAATAACCTTCCCTTGTGTCACTGACTTATTTTTTTTAACCCGTGGAAGGCCCATTCAACCCAAAATCACACATATAATTTGTCATAATGTGTAAAGAACCAAGTGGGACATGTCATCTCTGCCCTGGCCCTGAGTGACTGGAGGCCACAGCAGTCTTGACTGTCTCTGTCCTTTAAATAGACTAGAGCAGTGTTCCCAAACTTTTTCATAGTCCCGAACATTTACATTTTAGTCATTTAGCGGACGCTCTTATCCAGAGCGACTTACAGTTAGTGAGTGCATACATTTTTTTCATACTCCATATCACTTCAAACATTCAACCTCCAGCTGCGTACCCCCTCTAGCACCAGGGTCAACGCACTCTCAAATGTTGTTTTTTGCCATCATTGTAAGCCTGCCACACACACACACTATACGATACATTTATTAAACATAAGAATGAGTGTGAGTTTTTGTCACAACCCTGCTTGTGGGAAGTGACAAATAGCTCTTTTAGGACCAGGGCACAAATAATAATATAATCATAATACATAATTTTGCTCTTTATTTAGCCATCTTACATATAAAACCTTATTTGTTCGTCAAAAATTGTGAATAACTCACCCCAGGTTAATGAGAAGGGTGTGCTTGAAAGGATGCACATAACTCTGCAATGTTGGGTTGTATTGGAGAGAGTCTCAGTCTTAAATCATTTTCCACAGACAGTCTGTGCCTGTATTTAGTTTTCATGCTAGTGAGGGCCGAAAATCCACTCTCACATAGGTACGTGGTTGCAAAGGGCATCAGTGTCTTAACAGCGCGATTTGCCAAGGCAGGATACTCTGAGCGCAGCCCTATCCATAAATCTGGCAGTGGCTTCTGATTTAAATTCAATTTTCACAGAACCGCTTGTTACAATTTCGATGAGGCTCTCTTGTTCAGATATCGGTAAGTGGACTGGAGGCAGGGCAGGAAAGGGATAACGAATCCAATTGTTTGTGTCGTCCGTTTTTCGGGTAAGTACCTGCGTAATTGCGCACCCAGCACACACAGGTGCTTCGAAATATCACATTTGACATTGTCTGTAAGCTTGAGTTCATTTGCACACAAAAAATCATACAATGATGGAAAGACCTGTGTCGTGTCCTTGTTAATGCAGACAGAGAAGAGCTCCAACTTCTTAATCATAGCCTCAGTTTTGTCCCGCACATTGAATACAGTTGCGAAGAGTCCCTGTAATCCTAGATTCAGATCATTCAGGCGAGAAAAAACATCACCCAGATAGGCCAGTCGTGTGAGAAACTCGTCATCATGCAAGTCCAAATTATGGTCAGTAAAGAAAAATGTAAGCTTGTCTCTGAATTAAAACAAAACGTGTCAATACTTTGCACCTTGATAACCATACGCACCAGTCGTATGTTGTAAAAGCGTTACATGGTCGCTGCCCATATCATTGCATAATGCAGAAAATACACGATACTTCAGGGGCCTTGCTTTAACAAAGTTAACCATTTTCACTGTAGTGTCCAAAATGTATTTCAAGCTGTCAGGCATTCCCTTGGCAGCAAGAGCCTCTCGGTAGATGCTGCAGTGTGACCCAAGTGGCGTCGGGAGCAACTCCTTGCACGCGCGTTACCACTCCACTATGTCTCCCTGTCATGGCTTTTGCGCCATCAGTACAAATACCAACACATCTTGACCACCAAAGTCCATCTGATGTCACAAAGCTGTCCAGTACTTTAAAAATATCCTCTCATGTTGTCCTGGTTTCCAGTGGTTTGCAGAAGAGGATGTCTTCCTTAATTGACCCCCCATAAACGTAACGGACATATACCAGGAGCTGTGCCAGGCCCGCCACGTCTGTTGACTCATCCAGCTGTAAAGCATAGAATTCACTGGCTTGTATGCGAAGCAGTAATAGTTTCAAAACATCTCCTGCCATGTCACTGATGCGTCATGAAACAATGTTGTTTGATGAAGGCATTGTCTGTATAGTTTTTTTTGGCCTTTTCCCCCAGCGTTGTCCCAGCCATATCCGCGACAGCAGGAAGAATTAAGTCCTCCACAATAGTATGGGGCTTGCCTGTCCTGGCCAAGCATAACAACTTCTGTCGTCGACAGGTGCAGGTGTAGTACTGCTGGTAGTAGCAATACTACCAGTAGAGCTGGTATGTGTCTCTATGGACACGGGCATTATTTTTATTTTTTTACCATTTATCCATTTTCGAGCAAACGGAATGAGCAGCAGCTACGTTTGGCTACATACGGACCGTTCGTGGAATTCCCGCGAGAGAGTAACGGTTAATGTGATTGGATGTTAAGTATTTGACTAGGCTACCTGTATTTGACGTTGTGTTGTTATTTCGCTGAACACTAGATGTTTTAATTTTATTTTTGGCAGTGAAACGAGGCTACTCAGGCGAGAAAAAAACATCACCCAAATGTATAGCCCCGTTGGAAAATCTAAATGGACTGTTTGAAAATGTGAATCACATTTTTATTTGGCGTACCCCTGGTGGGAGTACACGTACCCCAGTTTGGGAATAGCCGGACTAGAGCAACTGACATTCCGATTTCTGACCATGACCCCCTACACACACACCCCTGTGTCCTGTAGGCCTAGTGCAGTAACACACTTGCAATCTAAATTGAGAAATATAATAATTTTTAGCAAACTATTTTAAATTTATATTAATTTAATCATATTTTCAAAGAGCAATTTGTGCTCAGTACATTGAATGTTTCTCATTCAGCTTTTAAAGTGACTGTAGTACCTAATCAAGTAAAATAAGGTAAGATGTGTTCAGTAGGAGTACTGCAAACTAAGGTTGGCAAATTAATAAACACTGACTCACTCACTGCAGCCTTTGGTCAGCAGCAGCAGTTCAGATCACAGACCCCCTGACCTAAAGTGTGTCAGGCAGAGCCAACAGCTGACCAAACCCCAGGGACAGAGATCAGAGGTCAGTCAAAGAGTGCTAGGCAGACCAAACAGGCCACTGTGCACCACTGTAAGGAACACATGATGCCTTCATCATACCCTAGCTCTCTGTCATACAGTATGTCATCAGAGGGCTCAGATGAGGTCTGAAAGTGAAAACCCCATGGCTGCATCTGAAGTTGTATTTCGGGCCATGGTTAGGTGACTCTGATTCAGTTCAGCATTTACTGCAATAACCCTCTCCTCTTTTCGATTTGACACTTCTGACCATTAGCATGCACATCAGTGGTAATAGCTGATATTCTCCAGTGTAGTGGCGTGTCCAGGGGGTGGCCCAGGGTCGGATAGGTTGTCTCTGAATATATTGATAATTTTGGCCAAGACGAGCACCGACAACAAGACTCCTCAATCTCACGGGAGAAAGCATTCGAGCGAGCGAAACAGTGCTCCTCTGTGTTTGCATGTGTAGCCCATGTATCTGACATGCAAACCTCACTGGCCACGTTGCGTGCACGAGCGTTGCAAAATAAATGTACACATGCATGTTATTCAATCATTTCACCCACACTGCTCACACGCGTGAACAAGCTTCTGTGTAGCCAAATGCTAAAATAGAACTTGGTTCTCTTTGAGACGCCACGTGCTGCAAGTCCCTTTCTTATTGGATATCAGGAAGATACAAACCCACGTGGATGTATGAAAGACAAACGAGGAGAGATTAATTAAAGGTAACTAACTAGATTTCCCTTATCTGTGGATTAATTGTTGGAGTAGAGAAACATGCCACGAATTTTACCAAGAACCAGCTAAAAAGAAGACCACGTGCATGACGGGTAAAATAACAACCCAATGTTTATCTCCCAGGACAAATTAGCTTGCAACAGCTAGCTAGCTACGTTTCCATGAATGTTTCATGTGTGGTTCAACCTGCCCCCAAATTAATAAAGTTGGTTCACAGTTGGTTCTGATATTTTAACCTGCGTATCATGATTGCGTCTGGTGTGGATGGACAAAATCAACATACGCACGTGCGGCCGGTGTAGTCAGCATGTGATGCTGTCTGGCCAGAAAAAGTATGATGTCTTTCTTTTTGGCCAGACAGCATCAGATACAGTGCATTCGGAAAGTATTCAGACATATTCCCTTTTCCTACAGCCTTATTCTAAAATTGATTAAATATTAATCAGTCTACACACACTACCCCATAATGACATAGCGAAAACAGGTTTTATAAATTTTTCCAATTGATTAAAAATAGAAAACAGATACCTTATTTACATAAGTATTCAGACCCTTTGCTATGAGACTCCTGTTTCCATTGATCATCCTTGAGATGTTTCTACAACTTGATTGGAGTCCACCTGTGGTAAATGCAATTGATTGGACATGATTTGGAAAGGCACACACCTGTCTATATAAAGTCCCACAGTTGACAGTGCAAAAACCAAGCCATGAGGTCGAAGGATTTGTCCGGAGAGCTCCGAGACAGGATTGTGTCAAGGCATAGATCTGGGGAAGGGTACCAACAAATTTCTGCAGCATTGAAGGTCCCTAAGAACACAGTGGCCTTCATTCTTAAATGGAAGAAGTTTGGAACCACCAAGACTCTACCTAGAGCTGGCCGCCTGGCCAAACTGAGCATTCGGGGGAGAAGGGCCTTGGTCAGGGAGGTGACCAAGAACCCGATGGTCACTCTGATAGAGCTCCAGAGTTCCTCTGTGGAGATTGGAAACCTTCCAGAAGGACAACCATCTCTGCAGCACTCCACCAATCAGGCCTATATGGTAGAGTGGCCAGACGGAAGCCATTCCTCAGTAAAAGGCACATGACAGCCCACTTGGAGTTTGACAAAAGGCACCTAAAGGACTCTCAGAATGAGAAACAAGATTCTCTGGTCTGATGAAACCAAGATTGAACTCTTTGGCCTGAATGCCAAGCGTCACGTCTGAAGGAAACCTGACACCATCCCTACGGTGAAGCATGGTGGTGGCAGCGTCATGCTGTGGGGATGTTTTTCAGCAGCAGGGACTGGGAGACTAGTCAGGATTGAGGGAAAGATGAACGGAACAAAGTACAGAGAGATCCTTGATGAAAACCTGCTCCAGAGCGCTCAGGACCTCAGACTGGGGCGAAGGTTCACCTTCCAACAGGACAAGCACACAGCCAAGACAATGCAGGAGTGGCTTCAGGACAAGTCTCTAAATATCCTTGAGTGGCCCAGCCAGAGCCCGGACTTGAACCCAATCGAACATCTATGAAGAGACCTGAAAATAGCTGTGCAGCGACGCTCCCCATCCAACCTGACAGAGCTTTAAAGGATCTGCAGGGAAGAATGGGAGAAACTCCCAAAATACAGGTGTGCCACGCTTGTAGTGTCATACCCAAGAAGACACAAGGCTGTAATCGCTGCCAAAGGTGCTTCAACAAAGTACTGAGTAAAGGGTCTGAACACTAATGTAAATGTTATATTTCTGTTTTTTATTTTTAATATATTTGCAAACATTTCTAAAAACCTGTTTTTGCTTTGTCATTATGGCGTATTGTGTGTAGATTGATGAGGAAAATAAACAATTTAATCCATTTTATAATAGGGCTGTATCGTAACAGAATGTGGAAAAAGTCAAGGGGTCTGAATAATTTCAGAATGTGCTGTAGCTAGCTACATCTACGGGCTTTTATGTTTTTTCTGTCGTGCATAGTGTGCAGTAGCCTATATCATAAGCTATATGTATTGGATAACGGCACAATCATTTGGGCCTTTTTGGGCTTGGGATCATTAAATATCTTTAAAACAGTGCTCATAAAATGTATTTAATGTATGGCTCATCAGGCTCAGGTAGCATCAGGCATGAATGTTCAATCAAACCTCTAATCTAATCCAGACATAGGCCTATTTATATGCTTTATAATGCTTTTGAATGAAACTTCCGGTTTTGGCGGGAAATACCGGGTTAACCGGGAGAAAAGTGATTTATTCTCGGAATGAAACTTTTTGTAAAATACCGGGAAAATATTCAACCCTAGTCTGTGCCCCACCTTGGCAATCCCAATCAAAATGTTCTGGACAAGCCACTGATTCAGTGGATTCATAATGGGTCATCAGTTATACTACATACCATATAATATAATAATATAATATGCCATTTAGCAGACGCTTTTATCCAAAGCGACTTACAGTCATGCGTGCATACATTATTTTATTTTTTTTTGTGTACGGGTGGTCCCGGGGATCGAACCCACTACCTTGGCGTTACAAGCGCCGTGCTCTACCAGCTGAGCTACAGAGGACCACATGAAGGCTCTAGTATCCAAGCGTGCACATGGAATGTAGGCTACTCACTATTACATTTACATTTGAGTCATTTAGCAAACGCTCTTATCCAGAGCGACTTACCATTGTATCTAAGATCACTCATTATGTTTCAATGCAGACATTACCATACGTCTGAAGCAGATCAGCACTTTGTCGAGCAAAGAGGCATCTGTTATCTCTCTCACAAGATACGTTGGAGAACTGCTGCAGTGCAGACAAACATAGTCTTTTTGGATTGTTTCACCAAAATAATTACAATGCCACTCTTTGCATTGTTTGATCATTGTAAAAAAGGTTGAGTTCTGACTGATGAGCAAGTCCTTGCTTTACTTTCTTCCCTTTGGCATCCTCCACTGTTGTCGTGGAAACGGAGGTTTCTGTATTGTACAGTGGGCAGCATGATTGTTCTGTGCCTTGAGTTGGGCTATGACAAAGTATGACAGAATTAACAGTGCCTTCAGAAATTATTCATACTCCTTGACTTCTTCCACATTTTGTTGTTACAGCCTGATTTCAAAATTGATTAAAATAAATGTTCTCTCACCCATCTACACACAATACCCCATAATGACAAAGTGAAAACATGTTTTTAGAAAATGTTGCACATTTATTGAAAATGAAATACAAAAATGTCTCATTTACACCCCTGAGTCAATACTTTGTAGAAGCATCTTTGGTGGCCATTACAGCTTTGAGTCATCTTGGGTATGTCTGTATCAGCTTTGCACATCTGGATTTGGGGATTTTCTCCCATTCTACCTTGCAGATTTTCTCAAGCTCTGTTAAGTTAGATGGGGAGCGGCGGTGAACAGCAATCTTCAAGTCTTTCCACAGATTTAATGATATTGAAATCTGGGCTTTCTCTGGGCCACTCAATGACTTTCACATTCTTATTCTGAAACCATTTAAGTGTTGCTTTGGCTGTATGCTTGGGGTCATTGTCCTGTTGGAACGTAAATCTTCGCTCCAGTCTAAGGTCTAAGGAGCAGGTTCTTGTCAAGGATTTGCCTGTATTTGGTTCCATTCATTGTTCCATCTATCCTTACCAGTCTCCCAGTCCCTGCCGCTGAAAGCATCCCCATAGCATGATGCTGCCACCACCATGATAGGGATGGTGTTAGACGGGTGATGAGCTGTGCCTGGTTTTCTCCAGACATAGCGTTTTGCATTTAGGCCAAATGGTTCAATTTGTGTCTCATCAGACCACAGAATATTTTGCCTTATGATCAGTCTTTATTAAGATAAAAAACAGAAATATCACATTTACATAAGTATTCAGACCCTTTACTTAGTACTTTGTTGAAGCACCTTTGGCAGCGATTACAGCCTCTGGTATGACACTACAAGCTTGGCACACCTGTATTTGGCGAGTTTCTCCCATTCTTCTCTGCAGATCCTCTCAAGCTCTGTCAGGTTGGATGGGGAGCGTCACTGCACAGCTATTTTCAGGTCTCTCCAGAGATGTTCGATCGGGTTCAAGTCCGGGCTCTGGCTGGGCCACTCAAGGACATTCAGAGACTTGTCCCGAAGCCACTCCTGTGTTGACTTGGCTGTGTGTTTAGGGTCGTTGTCTTGTTAGAAGGTGAACCTTCGCCCCAGTCTGAGGTCCTGAGCACTCTGGAGCAGGTTTTCATCAAGGATCTCTCTGTACTTTGTTCCATTCATCTTTCCCTCAATCCTGACTAGTCTCCCAGTCCCTGCCGCTGAAAAACAACCCCACAGCATGATGCTGCCACCACCATGCTTCACCGTAGGGATGATGCCAGGTTTCCTCCAGACGTGATGCTTGGCGTTCAGGCCAAATAGTTCAATCTTAGTTTCATCAGACCAGATCATCTTGTTTCTCATGGTCTGTCCTTTAGGTGCCTTTTGGCAAATTCCAAGCGGGTTGTCATGTGCCTTTTACTGAGGAATGGCTTCCGTCTGACCACTCCACCATAAAGGCGTGATTGGTGGAGTGCTGCAGAGATGGTTGTCCTTCTGGAAGGTTCTCCCATCTCCACAGAGGAACTCTGGAGCTCTGTCAGTGACCGTCGGGTTCTTGGTCATATCCCTGACCAAGGCCCTTCTCCCCCGATTGCTCAGTTTGGCCGGACAGCCAGCTCTAGGAAGAGTATTGTTGGTTCCAAACTTGTTCCATTTAAGAATGATGGAGGCCACTGTGTTCTTGGGGACCTTCAATGCTGCAGACATTTTTTGGTACCCTTCCCCAGATCTGTGCCTCGACATAATCCTGTCTCAGAGCTCTACAGACAATTCCTTCGAACCCATGGCTTGGTTTTTGCTTTGACATGCACTGTCAACTGTGGGACCTTGTATAGACAGGTATGTGCCTTTCCAAATCATGTCCAATCAATTGAATTTACCACAGGTGGACTCCAATGAAGTTGTAGAAACATCTCAAGGTTGTTAAATGGAAACAGGATGCACCTGAGCTACATTTCAAGTCTTATAGCAAAGGGTCTGAATACTTGTAAATAAGGTGTTTTTATTTTAATTTTAATACATTTACAAAATTTACTAAAAACCTTTTTTATCTTTGTCATTATGGGTTATTGTGTGTAGATTGAAGAGGATTTCTATTTATTTAATCCATTTTAGAATAAGGCTGGAACGTAACAAAGTGGAAAAAGTCAGGGGGTCTGAATACTTTCTGAATGCACTGTATGTTCCGGGACTCATCCGATTGCATTCAGGAGTATACCACATCAGTCACCGGCTTCATCAATAAGTGCATCGATGACGTTGTCCCAACAGTGACCGTATGTACATACCCCAGCCAGAAGCCATGGATTACAGGCAACATCTGCACTGAGCTAAAGGGTAGAACTGCCGCTTTCAAGGAGCGGGACTCTAACCCGTACGCTTATAAGAAATCCTGCAGTGCCCTCAGAAGAAACATCAAACAGGCAAAAAGTAAATACAGGACTAAGATTGAATCCTACTACACCGGCTCCGACGCTCGTCGGATGTGGCAGGGCGTGCAAACTATTACGGACTACAAAAAGAAAGCCCAGCCGCGAGCTTCCCAGTGACACAAGCCTACCAGACGAGCTAAACAACATTTTTGCGTGCTCCGTAGCCAATGTGAGTAAGACCTTTTAAACAGGTCAACATTCACAAGGCCGCAGGGCCAGACGGATTACCAGGAAGTGTACTCCGAGCATGTGCTGACCAACTGGCAAGTGTCTTCACTGACATTTTCAACCTGTCCCTGGCCGAGTCTGTAATACCTACATGTTTCAAGCAGACCACCATAGTCCCTGTGCCCAAGAACACCAAGGTTACCTGCCTAAATGACTACCGACACCTAGCACACATGTCTGTAGCCATGAAGTGCTTTGAAAGGCTGGTCATGGCTCACATCAACACCAATCGCACTCCACACTGCCCCTTTCCCACCTGGACAAAAGGAACACCTATGTGAGAATGCTGTTCATTGACTACAGCTCAGCGTTCAACACTATAGTGCCCACAAAGCTCATCACTAAGCTATGGACCCTGGGACTAAACACCTCCCTCTGCAATTGGATCCTGGACTTCCTAACGGGGTAAGGGTAGCAACAACACATCTGCCTTGCTGATTCTAAACATCGAGTGCTTAGTCCCCTCCTGTACTCCCTGTTCACCCACGACTGCGTGGCCAAGCACGACTCCAACACCATCATTAAGTTTGCTGATGACACAACAGTGGTAGGCCTGATCACCGACAATGATGAGACAGTCTATAGGGAGGAGGTCAGAGACCTGGCAGTGTGGTGCCAGGACAACAACCTCTCCCTCAACATGAGCAAGACAAAGGAGATGATCGTGGACTACAGGAAAAGGAGGGCCTAACACGCCCCCATTCACATCGACGGGTCTCTAGTGGAGCTGGTTGAGAGTTTCAGGTTCCTTGGTGTCCACATCACCAACAAACTATCATGGTCCAAACACACCAAGACAGTCGTGAAGAGGGCACGACAACGCCTTTTCCCCCTCAAGAGACTGAAAAGATTTGGCATGGGTCCCCAGATCCTCAAAAAGTTATACAGCTGCAACATCGAAAGTGTCCTAACTGGTTGCATCACCGCCTGGTATGGGAACTGGTCGGCATCCGACAGTAAGGCGCTACAGAGGGTAATGCGTATGGCCCAGTACATCACTGGGGCCAAGCTCCCTGCCATCCAGGACCTATATACTAGGCAGTGTCAGAGGAATGCCCAAAAAATTGTCAAAGACTCCAGTCACCCAAGTCATAGACTGTTCTCTCTGCTACCGCACGGCAAGCGGTACCGGAGCACGAAGTCTAGGTCCAAAAGGCTCCTTAACAGCTTCTACCCCCAAGCCATAAGACTGCTGAACAATTAATCAAATGGCTAACCAGACTATTTGCATTGAACCCCCCAGTTGTTTTTCCACTGCTGCTACTCGCTGATTATTATCTATGCATAGTCACTTTACCCTTACCTACATGTACAGATTACCTCGACTTACCTGTACCCCCGCACATTGACTCGGTATCGGTACCCCCTGTATATAGCCTCATTATTGTTATTTTGCGTTACTTTTTTTATTATTATTATTTGTTACTTTAGTTTATTTTGTAAATATTTTCTTAACTCTATTTTCTTTCAAACTGCATTGTTGGTTAAGGGCTTGTAAGTAAGTATTTCACGGTAAGGTCTACACCTGTCGTATTCTTTTTTTTTTTTTAGTCATTTAGCAGACGCTCTTATCCAGAGCGACTTACATATTATTATTTATTTTTTTATACTGGCCCCCTGTGGGAATCGAACCCACAACCCTGGCGTTGCAAACACCATGCTCTATCAACTGAGCTACATCCCTGCCGGCCATTCCCTCCCCTACCCTGGACGACGCTGGGCCAATTGTGCGCCGCCCATGAGTCTCCCGGTCGCGGCCGGCTGCGACAGAGCCTGGATTCGAACCAGGATCTAGTGGCACAGTTTTGCACTGCGATGCAGTGCCTTAGACCACTGCGCCACTCAGGAGCCAATATTCGGCGCATGTGACAAATTTGATTTGCTGTAGAGACTGTTGTCCTTCTGGCAGGTTCTCCCATCTCAGCCAAGGAACTCTGTAGTTCTGTCAGAGTGGTCATTGGGTTCTTGGTCACCTCCCTGACCAAGGTCCTTCTTGCCGGGTTTCCCAGTGTGGTTAGACGGCCAGCTGTAGGCAGAGTCTGGTTCATTCCAAATGTTTTCCTTTTCCCAATGATAGATACTACTGTGCTCTTGGAAACTTTCAACACTAGAAATTATTTTATACCCTTCCGCAGATATATGCCTCATCACAATTCTATCTCTGAGATCCACGGACAGTTTCTTGGACTTCATGGTATATTTACTGCTCTGACATGCAGTGTCAACTGTGGGACCTTATACAGACAGGTGTGTTTCTTCCTAAATCATGTCCGAACAGTTGAATTGGTCACTGGTGGACTCCAAGTTGTAGTGACATCTCAAGGATGATCAAAGGAAATTGGATGCACCTCAGCTCAATTTGGCGTGTCCTAGCAAAGGGTTGCGAGTACTTATGTAAATTAGGTATTTCATTTTCAATACATTTGCACACATTTATAAAAACCATGTTTTAACTTTGTAATTATGGGGTTGTAACACAACAAAATGTGGAATAAGTCAAGGGGTATGAATACTTTCTGAAGGCACTGTAGCAGGCAGGTTTCAGATCTCTTTGAGGGTGCAGGCCAGGGCTGTGTGATACGATTGCAATTGATGGCCTGCTAGATCAGTTATCTGGTTCTGTAAAGGATGTGCTCATTCAAATTGTTTGTCTGCGCACCCTGTAGCAAGTCGAGTTCTCCATGTCCTGGATATGACTACTGCCCCTGAGGTTTAATCTATAGATGCACACAGTTTTCATACAGTAGATAGATCTCTATGACTGTTAGGATCACCACAGTGATAATTTGTGTTAGCTATGAATTGCACTGTTTTTGAAGCCTAGACATGGGCTGCATCAATGTGGACACATGCCCCATAGCTTTACATATAAGGCCAGAAAGGGAGTTTACATGTGCATGAATACCATGGCTGTGTGGATTTCCTCTTCCATCTGGGGTCTGCTCTCTAGGCTGTCCTGGGGCATGCTGTTGGGTCTCAGACACAAATGGGGTACTGCATACATCTGTGTGTGCAACCTCGTTCCCACAGACACACAGCCAGAATAATCACACACTGACTACAAGGGTCAGGGATTGCAACAGCCAGGAGACCTAAAGCAAACCATCTAGTGATAGGATACAAATAGGAATGAACAAACTTCCCCTCTCCCATTTTCCAAATGACGAAGTTATCAAGCCGGGCACTTGAGTATTGACCAAGGCACCCTGACGCAGACCGACACACACATACTGTAGACTTGGGATGGCTGAGACAAGCTCGCCACACAGTTCTTGGCACAGCAAGACATCTATGTCATTGAGATGATTTTACATGTTTAAATCAATTGGAAGTGTTACTGAGAGCTGCATGCTCACTCCATTTCTAAGAATGCTTCTGCGGAGCCCACTGAAGCAACGTCAGGTCTTCGCTGCTCTTCAGAGCATGCATACATCTCCAGAGGCTTGCTGTCTTTGCCTTTACTCATTCATTAGACACCGCAGCTCTAGAGGTGAAGCCTGCACCGCTGGACTGGCAAGTGTGATGGACACAGTGTTGGAAGTTGCTCATACCCATCTCTGCCCCTCTGCCTTTCTTTCAGGTGGGGTTGCATTTCACTACAGCCGAAAGATGATTAGATAAGTAGCTTCAGCATTGTACAATTGCTACATTAAATGATTACAGTACATTATATCTGCAAATGAGATGATTGAGGCCAATAATGAACAAAGTTACGCATTGCCACACTTCCAAACCTTGTGACGTCTGAAAGTTCCATGAAGGCTGGAAATCGGGAAGTTCCTTGAAAGAGAATTTAACTTAAAGAAGCTGTGTTGATACGACTAGTTCTGTTTTGATAGAGATTTCTCATGCAGTAACAGCACTATAGTTTAATAACAGTATAGACCCTATGATTTTGCATAGGCTATTTGATGTAGGCCTAAGCAAAGAAGCGATTGTTGGTTGTGTATGACAGCCATCCTCTAGTTCTCCTTCTTACTCTGCATGTCTGCCAGAATGATGCCCGGCGGCTAGCAATGAAATCATTCATCAGCCAATGTTTAAATTGTATTCACTAAGGTAAATTGTATTCAGTCCCTCCCTCTCCACCAGAATCCATTAAGACCTACATGGTTATTACCTCTCCCCCTTTCTCTCCCTTACAACCAAGACCCCCTGTCGCAAGGAACGAAATCAGTATCACTATATCACAGACACTATTTTTGGAGCCTTATCTAATGTTATTTTAGCTACATTTGTGCTATACGTCAGAGTTCACCAGGGAGGTATTTTTAGACTTGAAGTGTGTTTCTTGGCTAGTTGGCTGCAGTTTTAACCCGTTATCTGTAGGTAACACCATCGGGAACTTTGTTTTTCCCTATTCCCATTTGAGTCTGTGCAATGCACATAATTGTTTATTGGCTTAAATCACTGAACACAACAGGTGCTTATTAGACTTTTGCTCATTTGCATAGTCTATTTTTTTATTCCAGCATTCACTTCCAGCATTTTAATTGATGCATTTCTTCATTATCTACTCTGTGTTATCATTTTCACACTGTCCCCCAAAAAATATCTTAGTAACCTCTATTTTGAAGAGGGAAAAAAAATCTTCCTTGACAGAATAATGATTTGCTTTTTTGACTGTGCATTTTTGGCAGTTCTTGCTGAGGGCGATCAGCTCCCGAAGTTGTTGACTGTTTTTGTGCTTGTCAGTTAGCTAGCAGTTCTCAGATGTTTTTTTTTTTTTTTTTTTTGGGGGGGGGGGGGGGGGGGGGGGGTAGATCAGCTTAATATTGCAGATAGATTGTAACTTCTATCAATGTAATTGTCTGCATCACTTCCAATCCCCCATGTTTTTTATATATATACTCCCCTTTTCAACCCTGCCATCCTTTCCCTACTTGGGGTAAATTAGTGAACAACAATGCCCAGTTCTCAGATGTTAGCAGACAATGGCTAGTAGTTTGTTACTTAAAATTGATGATATTTTGAGTCATTACTGAATTATTTAATGTAAGAAATCAAACATTAAACCTCATAAACAATTCATGGTAATTCATGGTAACCTCAAACAATTAATTTAGACCCGGCGTTTATTAGAAACAAGCGTTTTATTTGGTGAAATGTGTGCCGTTGCCCGGTTATTAAAAGGGAAAGGTGGCTATTTGAGACTTTGCGTTTAGTTAAAGTTTTACGGTACTCTTGTTTTGATGCTTTTTAAACAGTTTGTTTTATACTGAACAAAAATATAAACGCAACATGCAACAATTTCAAAGATTTTACTGAGTTACAGTTCATATAAGGAAATCGGTCAATTGAAATAAATTCTTTAGGCCCTAAGCTATGGATTTCACATGACTGGGCAGGGGTGCAGCCATGGGTGGGCCTGGGAGGGCATAGGCCCACCCACTTGGCAGCCAGGCCCACCCACTGGGGAGCCAGGCCCAGCCAATCAGAATGAGTTTTTCCCCACAAAAGGGCTGTATTACAGACGGAAATACTCCTCAGCACCCCCCCAAACCCACCTCAGACGATCCCGCAGGTGAAGAAGCCTGATGTGGAGGTCCTGGGCTGGTGTGGTTACATGTGGTCTGCGGTTTTGAGGCCGGATGGACATACTGGCAAATTCTCTGAAACCATGTTGGAGGCAGCTTATTGTAGAGAAATTAACATTGAATTATCTGGCAACAGCTCTGGTGGACATTCCTGCAGTCGGCATGACAATTGCACACTCCCTCAAAACTTGAGACATCTGTGGCATTGTGTTGTGTGACAAAAATAAGCTTCTTGATATGCCACACCTGTCAGGTGGATGGATTATCTTGGCAAAGGAGAAATGCTCACTAATAGGGATGTAAACAACTTTGTGCACATAATTTGAGAGAAATAAGCTTTTTGTGTGTATGGAACATTTCTGGGATTTTTTATTTTTACACTTTACATGTTGCATTTATATTTTTGTTCAGTGTAGATATTAAGAACGTGGTGGAATGTCAGTCTACCCTGTTTATTTAGGCACATTCCTCCAAAACTGATGTTGATGCTCATGCTGATTCTAAAGCTGATATGGATGTTGACATTGTCATCTCCCTCCCCCCATGGCAGGCCTATGAGCTCTCCACGTTGACAGGAACCCAGGTCCTGCTACTGGTGGCCAGTGAGACGGGCCATGTCTACACGTTTGCCACGCGGAAGCTCCAGCCCATGATCACCAGCGAGACGGGCAAGGCCCTCATCCAGACGTGCCTCAACTCTCCGGACTCACCCCCCCGCAACGACCCCTCCACTGACCAGCGTATGAGCGCCACGGGCTTCGAGGAGACGGACCTCAGCTACCAGGTGTCTGAGTCAGAGAGCCTTGGGGAGACCAAGGTGAGTTCTGCTGCTGCTCTTCACACAAAGGACCAGGTTTGTGTTCATTAGGCACCAAACTAGTCTCATAAACCCGACCCTAGGCAACAGCAGTGATTAGTAGGGGTGTAACGGTTCACCAAACCCACGGTTCGGTACGTTTTGGGGTCACGGTTCGGTTTCGGTACAACGGGAAAATGAAATGCTTACAGTCACTGTAGTTATTTTTTGTTTATTTAAGCTGCGAAGGGCTGCTTGAATGCGGAGGGTAGACAATGTGTGTGTATATATATATATATATATATATATATATATATATATATATATTTGTCTTGTTCTGGTGGTAGGAATACTGGGGTGACGTCGGCGTAAATATGTCAACATGTTTGAGGTGTTGGTAGCTGCACAGGCTATTCTCATTGAGTAGTGGCGACATACTCTCTCTGTCTATCGCTGTTGTAATCTACTGGGAAACCAAAATGTTCCCTAACTCGAGATTTTAAACGATGGTGGAGAATCCACCTGGTTTTTCGACCTCACTACTCGCCATCGTGCAGAACTAGTTCCCGGCTGCGGCTCACTGAAGGTCAGTTTGAAATGTGCCAATTTAAGATTTGAATTTTGATTACAACGTAAGCTTCAGTTGTTTAAACGGACTAGCCTAAAATGTTGTTTTATTTAGCTCAGATTTTCTCAAGAGGCATACAATGCAGTGTAGGCATAGTCTATAGGCCTAGTGTTTTATTTTTTTAAATATATTTTTTATGTATTCATTCGGGTTCACAGTGTGGACCAAACTTTTTCTACATTTTGTTGTGTTACAGCCTGAATTTAAAATGGATTACATTGAAATTGTGTGTCACTGGTCTGCACACAGTACCCCATAATGTCAAAGTGGATGTATGTTTTTAGAAGTCTTTACAAATTAATTAAAAATGAAAAGTTGAAATGTCTTGAGTCAGTAAGTATTCAACCCCTTTGAGAAAATTAACTTTATGTCCTGAATACAAAGTGTTATGTTTGAGGAAAATACCAGTCTTGATATTTTCAAGCATGGTGGTGGCTGCATCATGTTATGGGAGTTTTTTTTAGGATAAAAATTAATGTAATAGAGCTAAGCACAGGCAAAATCCTAGAGGAAAACCTGGTTCAGTCTGCTTTCCAACAGACACTGGGAGAAGAATTCACCTTCCAGCAGGACAATAACCTAAACACAAGGCCAAATATACACTGGAGTTGCTTACCAAGACGACATTTGAATGTTCCTAAGTGGCCTAATTACAGTTTGGATATAAATCACCTTGAAAATCTATGGCAAGACTTGAAAGTGGCTGTCTAGCAATGATCAACAACCAACTTGACAGAGCTTGAAGAATTTTGTAATAATATTGTGCAAATATTGTACAATCCAGGTGTGCAAAGCTCTTAGACTTACCCAGAAAGACTCACAGCTGTAATCGCTGCCAAAGGTGATTCTAGCATGTATTGACTCAGGGGTGTGAATACTTATGTAAATTAGATATTTCTGTATTTAATTTTCCATAAATGTGCAAACATTTCTACAAACATGTTTTCACTTTGTCATTATGGGTTATTGTGTGTCGATCAGTGAGAATAGTTTTAAAAATATTTAATCCATTCTGAATTCCGGATGTAACACAACAAAATGTGGAATAGGTTAAGGGGTATGAATACTTTTGGAAGGCATTGTCCGTGTACCGTTACACCCCTAGTGACTAGGGTTTGGTTTCAATAATGGACTCTTTTGGCAACTTTGATAAGAAAAGGTGGGTCCTCTTCAGACCGACAACTCTACCAACAAATCACAAGGCCAAAGTTTGCAAGCAAAACCTTTGCAGTGGTTTTAGGAAAGGTAGTTGATGCAAACTAGCCACTTGCAAAATGCACTCATTAAAAATAACCTCTGTGATCTCCATCTTGTCAGCTACTATTTTGTATTTTACTCAACCGGATAAGGTAGTGACGTAGGCAGTAATGTAGTTACTCTATGCCAAACTGACATTCTATTATGTACAGATGGCGGACATTAGAAAACTGTGGTAGGCGACCCGGATGACTAGAGAGACCATAAGAAAACTGACTGAAACAGGGAGGGATTACCTGAACTTGACCAATAAGAAACGCTAATTTATGTTTTCCGTTGCAAAACGTTTTGCTAATGAATACGACCCAGAACAAACTGGCTTTGGACCAGAAACCTGTAGTGCTGCTGTAGCCCATAGAAACGCATTGAATAACACATTCATAAATGGGAAAAAATTGTCAAAATAAATCGTAAGGAATAAGGTTTTGAAGTGTCTGTCCTATATCTAGGAGATATAAAAAAGCTCAGGAAATATATATATATTTTTGGACATATTTAACCCCTTATTTTTGTTGGCACAAAACTACCTCCATACTTCCATTCATTTGAATGGGTTACCTTCAGACGAGTCCTGTGACACTTGTGGGAGTCATAGAGCAAAACGGAGAACACCATCGTGAGAGTCTCCCCTTTCCATAGAGTGGTCATATTAGTTAGTAGGTCAAACCATTCGGACGCTGCAGACGTTTTCCCGGTCTGACAAACAGCGCTGTAGCTCTGTCACTTTCCACCACAGATGCGGAAGGGCGACATAGGTGGATGCGGTGTTTGAGACTCAGCCCATGCAAAAAAAACATATCTCTAGCTTAAACTGACGGATTTTGATGGGGTGCGTCAATAGACTCTAAAGGATTTTTAAAAGATAAAGCACCAGAGCGCTACTATTAGATGCTCAGTCAAATCCCCCCAGAATATTCCAGCCAAGCACAGCAGAAATTCACATTAAGTTATGGAAACTCAGTTTACCGGTATGCGTAAACCTCAGAGTGTCTGTTAAACTCGAGGTGACCTCTTTTGGCTTGTTGCTCGCGGTTTGGTTTGATTGTCTACTAAATCATCTTTCATTGGCTCAAACAGCCTGGTTTATTCTCTTGTGGCAGGAAGCAGAGGTGTAAAGACGAACCAAAGTAGTGGAACACGAAACCACTCGACAGGATGAGTTAGAACTTATCTTCTCTCTACCTCGCTGAACCTTGTCACAGAAAAGTCTCCAAACCCCTGCCTATAAACCTGTAGATCAAGGCAGGTCTGGGTTGTATTAAGCCCGTTGTGGTTGTTTATGTTATATTCCAGGGGTGATTTCTCCAATAGACACAAGTCATATCCACTTTATCAGTGGAAGAAGGGTTTTTCATGAGAATCTCAATATCGTTATTCTACAGTGCAGTGTTTTGCCTGAAACCGTTCTAAAAAAGTAGTGGTCTTTGTGATGTGCAGTGGAGAGAGATTGCAATGTCCTAAAGCCATTTGGACAGCTTATTTATAGTTAGATGTGCTTCATTACCCCATGGAACACCTTGCTGCTGTTGCTCACACAGTCATGTGCTATCCGCCAGGATGTCCATGCTGTAGTCTTGATTTAAGTACACTCCTTTGAAGAGGGATACATACATCCCTATGTGATCATTTTAATGTTTTCACAAGCCAGTTATAGATACGCGCTGTCTACTTTGAGGATGGTGATCGACCTTTGGCTTGTAAAGTCACTCTATTGCCCGCTTCACTAATTGATACAAATGTTATTCTGCTTCAATGTCCATATATGGTACGGTTTCCCTGCCTGCTCTCTTGGCTGAGGCCCCTCACATTCCTTATATGCTGCTGCTGTCTTTGGATTCCTGCAATTATAGTTTTTCCTCATTTAGGGATGTGGTGGGTTGTACATTTGAGTGTGTGTGTGTGTGTGTGGGGGGGGGGGGGGGGGGGGGGGGGGTGTTGTAGATAGGGATTTATTAAAGACAGATGGAATGGAAACATTTTGCTGTTATCAATGATCTGACCTCTTGGATGCCATTTTCCTTGAGGTTGGTTGGTTGGTGATGACTGACTCTGGGAACTTGGTACTTGGAGGTAGGGAGGGAGAGAGAGAGACTTGAGTATGGTTTGTCATTGTAAAGTCCATGCAACTTTAATACATGTGGGGATCAACGCTCGTATAGTTAGACCCTGGTAGATGGTGACTGTAGCCATGATGAACTCTTTGTTTTCAAGGATGCTGCTTTATGCTTCCCTGAAGTCTCTGGATACCATTCGTCTTGAGAACAGTATGTCATACATACTGTAGAAGCTAGTCTAAACATTTCACCATTTGGTCTGGTTGGGGTAGGGAGAGGAGGGAGATGAGGGGAAGGGAGGGGAGGGTGCAAGGCTAGGTGAAGCAGAAGAGTTGGGTCAGCAGCAGCCATGTGACAAGATGCAGTCGAGCATCATGTGACATTTGGAAACCTGTAGCCTAATGAAGTGTGTACTACTGTACATCAGGATTCTTTCTGACCCCTCACATTCAATAGGTCTTCTCTGCATCTCTGTCACTTCTGGATCCTTTAGCTTTTTTTCTCTGTTCCCGTTTGTTAGTGGGATGAAGTAAGTTACCCAAGACACTGAGAAAACAAGATGCTGATCTAAGGCAAGTGTTGTGTTTTTCTCCATAACAGTTACAGTGCCTTCAGGAAGTATTCATACCCCTTGACTTATTCCACATTTTGTTGTTACAGCCAGAATTCAAAATGGATTAAAGACTATTTTTCTCACCCATCTACACACAATACCCCATAATGACAGTGAAACATGTTTTTTAGAAATGCACATTTATTGAAAATGAAATAAAGAAATATCTAATTTACATATGTATTCATACCCCTGAGTCAATACTTTGTAGAAGCACCTTTGGCGGCGATTACAGCTTTGTCATCTTGGGTATGTCTATCAGCTTTGCACATCTGGATTTGGGGATTTTCTCCCATTCTTCCTTGCATATTTTCTCAAACTCTGTTAATTTAGATGGGGAGTGGCGGTGATCAGCAATCTTAAAGTCTTTCCACAGATTTAATGGGATTTAAGTCTGGGCTTTGACTGGGCCACTCAAGGACTTTCACATTCTTGTTCTGAAGCCATTCCAGCGCTGCTTTGGCTGTATGCTTGGGGTCATTGTCCTGTTCTGTTGGAACGTAAATCTTCGCCCCAGTCTAAGGTCGTTTGCACTCTGAACCAGGTTCTGATCAAGGATTTTCCTGTATTTGGCTCCTTTAATTGTTCCCTCTATCCTTAACAATCTCCCAGTCCCTGCCACTGAAAAGCATGCCCATAGCATGATGCTGCCACCACCATGCTTCAAGGTAGGGATGGTGTTAGATGAGTGATGAGCTGTGCCTGGTTTTCTCCAGACAAAGCACTTTGCAGTCAGGCCAAAGAGTTACATTTTTGTCACATCAGACCACAGAATGTTTTGCCTTATGATCCAGGTGTGCTGTCATGTGCCTTTTTCTCAGGAGTGGCTTCCGTCTGGCCACTCTCCCATAAAGCCCAGATTGGTGAAGTGATGTAGAGACTGTTGTCCTTCAGGCAGGTTCTCCCATCTCAGCCAAGGAACTCTGTAGTTCTGTCAGAGTGGTCATTGGGTTCTTCACCTACCTGACCAAGGTCCTTCTTGCCTGTTTGCTCAGTTTGGTCGGATGGCCAGCTCTAGGCAGTCTAGTTAGTTCCATATTTTTCAATTTCCCAATGATAGACACCACTGTGGTCTTGGAAACTTTCAACACTCTAGAAATAGTTTTATACCCTTCCCCAGATATACAGTACCAGTCAAAAGTTTGGACACACCTACTCATTCAAAGGTTTTTCTTTATTTTTACTATTTTCTACATGGCAGAATAATAGTGAAGACATCAAAACTGTGAAATAACACATGGAATCATGTAGTAACCAAAAAAGTGTTAACCAAATCAAAATATATTTTAGATTTTAGATTCTTCAAAGTAGCCACCCTTTGCCTTGATGACCGCTTTGCACACTCTTGGCATTCTCTCAACCAGCTTCACCTGGAATTCCAACAGTCTTGAAGGAGTTCCCACATATGCTGAGCACTTGTTGGCTGCTTTTCCTTCACTCTGCGGTCCAACTCATCCCAAACCATCTCAATTGGGTTGAGGTCGAGTGATTGTGGAGGCCAGGTCATCTGATGCAGCACTCCCATCACTCTCCTTCTTGGTCAAATAGTCCTTACACAGCCTGGAGGTGTGTTGGGTCATTGTCCTGTTGAAAAACAAATGATAGTCCCACTAAGCGCAAACCAGATGGGATGGCGTATCGCTGCAGAATGCTGTAGTAGCCATGCTGGTTAAGTGTGCCTTGAATTCTAAATAAATCACAGACCGCGTCACCAGCAAAGCACTCCCACACCATCACACCTCCTCCTCCATGCTTCACGGTGGGAACCACACATGCGGAGATCATCTGTTCACCTACTCTGCATCTCACAAAGACACGGCGGTTGGAACCAAAAATTTCACATTTGGACTCATCAGACCAAAGGACATATTTCCACCAGTCTAACGTCCATTGCTCGTGTTTCTTGGCCCAAGCAAGTCTCTTCTTATTATTGGTTTCCTTTAGTAGTGGTTTCTTTGCAGCAATTCGACCATGAAGACCTGATTCACGCAGTCTCCTCTGAACAGTTGATGTTGATGTGTCTGTTACTTACATTTTACATTTTAGTCATTTAGCAGACACTCTTATCCAGAGCGACTTACAGTTTAGTGAGTGCATACATTTTTCATACTTGAACTCTGAAGCATTTATTTGGGCTGCAATTTCTGAGACTGGTAACTTATCCTCGACAAATGCGACTGCACTTGAAGAAACTTTCAAAGTTGTCTTAAAGTAATGATGGACTGTTGTTTCTCTTTGCTTATTTGAGCTGTTCTTGCCATATTATGGACTTGGTCTTTTACCAAATAGGGCTATCTTATGTATGCACTCACTAACTGTAAATCGCTCTGGATAAGAGCGTCTGCTAAATTACTAAAATGTAAATGTGAGAAGGAAAGAAATTCCACATATTAACTTTTAACAAGGCACACCTGTTAATTGAAATGCATTCCAGGTGACTACCTCATGAAGCTGGTTGAGAGAATGCCAAGTGTGCAAAGCTGTCATAAAGGCAAAGGGTGGCTATTTGAAGAATCTCAAATATAAAATATATTTTGATTTGTTTAACACTTTTTTGGTTACTACTTGATTCCATATGTGTTACTTCATAGTTTTGATATCTTCACTATTATTCTACAAAGTAGAAAATAGTAAAAATAAAGAAAAACCCTGGAATGAGTAGGTGTGTCCAAACTTTTGACTGGTACTGTATGCCTCATCACAATTCTATCTCGGAGATCTACGGACAGTTCCTTTGACTTTTCTGGTATAGTTTCTGATCTGACAAGCACTGTTAACTGTGGGACCTTGTATAGGCAGGTGTTTCTTTCTAAATCATGTCCAAACAATTGAATTGGCCACAGGTGGACTCCAATCAGGTTGTAGTGACATCTCAAGGATGATCAAAGGAAATTGGATGCACCTGAGCTCAATTTGGAGTGTCATAGCAAAGGGGTGTGAATATTTATGTAAATGAGATATTACTGTATTTCATTTTCAATACATTTGCAAAACATTCTAAACATGTTTTCACTTTGTCATTATGGGGTGTTGTGTATACAGTGCATTCGGAAAGTATTCAGATCCCTTGACTTTTCCCACATTTTGTTACTTTACAGCCTTATTCTAAAATGGATTAAATAAATGTTTTTCAAATTTTTGCAAATGTATTATAAATAAGAAACAGATACCTTATTTATATAAGTATTCAGACCCTTTGCTATGAGACTCGAAATTGAGCTCAGGTGCATCCTGTTTCCACTGATCATCCTTGAGATGTTTCTACAACTTGATTGGAGTCCACCTGTTGTACATTCAATTGATTGGACATGATTTGGAAAGGCACACACCTGTCTATATAAGGTCCTACAGTTGACAGTGCATGTCAGATCAAAAACCAAGCCATGAGGTCGAAGGACTTGTCCGTAGAGCTCCGAGACAGGATTGTGTCGAGGCACAGAAGGTTACCAAAAACGTTCTGCAGCATTGAAGGTTTGGAACCACCAAGACTCTTCCTAGAGCTGGCTGCCTGGCCAAACTGAGCAATTGGGAGAGAAGGGCCCTGGGAGGTGACCAAGAACCCGATGGTCACTCTGACAGAGCTACAGAGTTCCTCTGGGGAGATGGGAGAACCTTCCAGAGGGACAACCATCTCTGCAGCACTCCACCAATCATCCATTTATGGTAGAGTGGCCAGACGGAAGCCAGTAAAAGGCACATGACAGCCGCTTGGAATTTGCCAAAAAGCACCTAAGGATTCTCAGACGATGAGAAACAAGATTCTCTGGTCTGATGAAACCAAGATTGAACTCTTTGGCCTGAATGCTAAGGGTTACACCTGGAAGAAACCTGTCACCATCCCTACGGTGAAGCATGGTGGTGGCAGCATCATGCTGTGGGGATGTTTTTCAGCGGCAGGGACTGGGAGACTAGTCAGGATCGAGGGATAGATGAACAGAGCAAAGTACAAAGAGATCCTTGATGATGCCTGCTCCAGAGTGCTCAGGACCTCAGACTGGGTTGAAGGTTCACCTTCCAACAGGACAACGACACTCGGCACACAGCCAAGACAATGCAGAAGTGGCTTCGAGACAAGTTTCTGAATGTCCTTGAGTGGCCCAGCCAGAGACCGTACTTGAACCCGATCGAACATCTCTGGGGAGATCTGAAAATAGCTGTGCAGCGACGCTCCCAATCTAACCTGACAGAGCTTGAGAGGATCTGCAGAGAAAAAATGGGAGAAACTCCCCAAATACAGGTGTGCCAAGCTTGTAGCGTCATACCCAAGGAGACTTGAGGCTGTAATCGCTGCCAAAGGTTCTTCAACAAAGTATTGATTAAAGTGACTGAATACTTATGTAAATATGGTATTTCAGTTTTTTTATTTTTAATACATTTGCTAAACTTTCTAAAAACCTGTTTATGCTTTGTCATTATGGGGTATTGTGTGTAGATTGATGAGGAAAAAAAAAAGTAATCCATTTTAGAATAAGGCTGTAACTTAACAAAATGTGGAAAAAGTCAAGGGGTCTGAATACTTTCCGAATGCACTGTAGATGGGTGAGAGAAACCATATATTTAATCAATTTTGTATTCAGGCCGTAACACAACAAAATGTGGAATGCGCGAACCAAGGTGACTGGGAATATGGCCGAATACATACAGTGTAGTTATTCACTCCGTAAGGCAATCAAAAGGCAAAATGTCAGTATAGAGACAAAGTGGAGTTGCAATTCAACGGCTCAGACACGAGACGTATGTGGCAGGGTCTACAGACAATCACGGACT